TACAGAAGTAGCAAGTCAGATTGTGTAGATTTAGACTCAGATAAAGTGTGAAGAGAAGAATCAGAAGAATTAGAGAAAATAAGAGAACTATCTACTTTTGTTTTCAACTTTTTTCTTTCTAATAGATAATTTTGTTAATTTATTTTTTCTACTTTTTCTGCTTTTCTTACTTTATTTACTTCTAATCCTACAGTGTCTATTGAATCAAAAGTGGGTATTAAAAAATCTGAGTCATAACCCTTTAGTACTGTATTCACTGTTAAGCCTCTACAAAATCCTAGAGTACATAGTCAGGGTCTGAGAGTTCTGAGGTAACTTCTGGATTTGTAGAAAAGGCTTCTTACTACAAATCCTACTTGTCACTCATTATTACTCTAATGACCTAACAGATATACTGTTACTTCTGTAGACAGTCCCTAATTTAGTACCCTGACTTTCTGTAGGCAAAGTATACTCCTTACTTTTAGACTTCTTTAATGTCTATCAGAACAGATTGATTACAAATTACAGGCAGATCAATCTGAGGGCTTAGAATTGTTAGAGCTAGATACATGTGTAGGCATTCTGTATAGACTTAATACATTTAAGCTGTAGCTTGGTTGAAGGAAATAGTGTATGTCTTCTACTTAGTGTAAGTAATCAGTTCTAGTATTATTCTGAGAATCTTATTAACTAGTTCTAAGTAGAGAGCTTTTTCCAGCATTCTAATAAGAACATTATTGAACCTAAGCACAAATCCTGCCTTCCAGGCCAGGATATCAAACTCCTGAAAGAAGGTATTAGTAGAATGTTTGCTCTGTTATAGAGACACAAGCTTGTTCTGTACATTATACTTCTCATTCAGATTAATGAAGGAAGTATAGAGCTGCCTTATGAATTCCAAATACAACTCATTGTTCTGAAGTCAGATCAGGCTTCTGATCCAATAGCCTTTGATCCAGTTCTGGGCCCAGGTAGCTACATTGCCTTCCTTTATGAAGGAGAGGACAAATAGGATACAATTAAGATCTGAGGATAGATCAGTCAAAGTAGTAGTCACATATAGTTTGACTTGGTGCTAGAAGTCCTTAAAGTGCTACCTATTAAAGTCTGAAGGGCAGACTATATACACTTTCTTTCTAGAGCAGGTTGTAACTTCCAGAACAACTAGAATAGGTTCTGAAGAGGCTGGGGGCATGTAGTTAGTAAAGGCCTCTTAAATAGAGGTCTATACATATTAAGCTAGGTCTACTTGTAACTACTGATCTAGTAGGACAGTAGGGGTGGCAGCTGGCACAGGAGGGTCCATGTTTACACTACAAAGGAATCAGTACTAAACTAAAAGGGGTAATGAATAGAAGAAGGGTGGCAAAAGTTTAAAAGGGTTTAGAAAGTTTAAAATTTAAAAATGTGTACTTTCAGTTCTGAGAGTTCCACACCCTTCTGTACTGGAACTTGGGACTCCTGTCCCTCAGGGGCACTGTCTATAGACTATATGTGTGCTGACTCTTACTACTACCCTTCCTTACTTCATCATTCCATTCCTTTGACCACCCCTTCATTCTTTGTTCATTCTATAGTCTCTTACCCTTTGTCCATCCCTTCATTCTTTGTACCTTTATCTTTAACCTTCCCTTTCTTTCATTCTTCATGGCTTATCATTCTTAGTAGCTCATACTCCCTGAGTACTCTTGTGTAGTTTAGTATATATAGGCATACAAGATCAGACTGGTCCAGTAGTCTTGATCTTGTCTACTCCAGGTAGTCCTGTACTCTTAGGCTTACTCTATATACTCTACTCTTGTCTTACTCTCTCTCTCTGCCTGTTCTGCAAGTTCTGACTACATTCTAGTACTTGTGTTCTGTATTTCTGTTGTGTAAGATAGTTGTAGCCTGGGTCCCCTTACTGAGCCTTCAGGTCCCCTCTATACTGTTACTAACATCAGATCAAGACTACCCATTACCACCCTACAACTCTCCTACATTTTGAGCATTAGTACTCACTGTTGTGTTAATCTCTTTTCTTTGTCCTAACCCTTTTAAGAGCAGAGAACTGTAACATTTTTAATGTGAAAATCATTAAACACTTAGTGTAGTACTGTAATAAGTCTTTGTAGCTTGATAGGTTGATACTCAGATTCAGGTTTTCTATTGTAAAACATATTCTAAGCTTGTTCCATAACTGTAATAGTACTACTATATTCAGGAGGGGTTGTAGTGTAAATAGCTACTCAATACATAGTGTCTGTAGGCTTCAAATTGTCTGCTACTAGCTGTACATATATCTGCTCTAGTTTATCAAGTACTTGTCTGAAGTTTTTAACATAATCATTGTATTTAAATAGTAAAGACTCATTGTATACTTTATGTATAACTGTATGAGGGTTGAAGTGTTCTTCTAATCTGCTCATAAGAGTTTTAATCAACATTCTGGTATGTATAAAGTTAGCTATTATATGATCCACTACTTTATTAGTTATTAATGCATAAATTGTGTGTACAACCTTAATGTCTTTAGACTTTGGTTCATTTGTGAACAAGTGTATATAGCCTGTTACTGTAATAGTAGAGTTAATCTGATACTTCCATATTTTGAATCTGGATGTGTCTTTTAGTTGCACAATGTTGTGTCTAAAGTGTTTAGGGACATTAGCAGGTTTGTAGTAAGTGGGATTTGTCCTGCTTGTCTGTTCCAAGATTGTAGATGGATTCATTTCGGTTCCAATCAATGTGTGTGTATTGTGAGTACTTGGGGAGTCCATCATAGATGTGTAGTAACAATGTGAAGTAGTGTAGCATAGTTTTGTAGTAGTAATATAAGGTATTAAGCAGAGAGCACAAGGCTCATAACCTGTTAGAATGTGTTTTCTTAGGTTATTACACAAGTAATGAGGGTGTAGACCCTGATAATAATGTGTATTTCATATCTGATACTTATTGTGTATTCAATACATGTCTTGTATTATATATCCAATACATGTTTCTTAGTTCTGCATCTGTTCCATTAATTCTGTGTCCATTCTGTTTGTATGTGTATTAATTGTTTTACTAATACTGTAGTGTCTGTAATTGTATCATCAATTGTAATACATGTTAACACTTTGCTTACTCTCTTTCACTAGCTGTGTATTTTGTAACCAACACTCAACCTGTTAACTTTACTGTTAAATTCCTTACTTGTATATTTTTATTAACAAGTCAAAGCCTTCTTTAGGCTAGTTACTATGTGTTCTGCTTGCTAGACCTGTTGAGTATTATTCACAGCACCCTTGTCCTTCTCAGTTCTCTTCTCCTTATCTGTAGTAGTACTGTACCTTCTGGTTAAAGCTTAGAGATACTGTTTCAACTAATAAGTGTTAAAAGTCCTTATTACTGTACATTTTCATTAATGAGTCAAAGCTTTCTTAAACTCATAACTGTATGTTCCTTATTGTCTGTCCTTACCCTTTTGTATTTCCCCTCCCCCCCTTTACTATAATCTTCCATTTTTCCTCCCCCCCCTTTACTATATTCTTTCTGTTACCTCTCTATTAATTACTTCCCTTACCTCCCTTTTATTTCTTCAGAGTAGGGAAGAGTATAACCTCTAAGGTTACACACATGACTTTAGTTAAGTATATAAAGGAGCTATTTGTAGACTCTTAGAGATTATCTTTGTACTTTACTCCTGTACTTAGGTTAACCTCTCTAATCCTAGGTCTTTGTCTGTTCTGTTTCCTAAGTAAGACTCTAGCCTTTACATCTGACTAACACTCTAGATTGAGCTATAAAGTTTATACTACAGTATAATAGTCTATACTTTATTATTACAGTTAACCTAAATAAATTTAAGTATACTTTAAAGCTTTTAAACTTAAATCAAGTTTTTCTAAAGTTTTATATTAGTTAACTTTAGTATTACATTTTAAACAAAAATCTCTTGTTTCTGTATTAGACTCTAAACCATTCTAGACCTGTTAATAATAATAAAGAAATTTATAAAGTCCTCTGTATAGTTAATAAGTACTATAAAGGTAAAGGATAATAGTATTTTATTAAATAAAAAGAATAAAATAAGAAAGAAAGAAAATAGAAAGTAGAGTTTAAGCTTTAGAACTTAGCTCTAGAAATTTTGCACACTTGGTTAAAGGTTCACTTGTATACAGATAGTAGTTGTTTAGAGGAGGGAAGAGTGTAAGTCTACTGTATAACTTACTATAGTTTTAAAGTTTAAAAGTTTAATAAGTGTTTTATAAAACTAAAGATTCTAACTTAAAACTGTATATTCTGAGAGTTCCAGAACAGGCACAACTTGTGTAGCTCTCAGGCTATACATATAGTTTCCTTTTTCTTTTGTCACAAGTTTCCCTTTAACCTGAGTCACCTTTATTTATACTTTAATATATATAATTTATATTTTTATCTTTATTATATTAGTTCTTATTTACTAACCACAACAAAGGTGTATCTTATTCTATAGTATCAGTTCTTATTTACTGACTACAATAAAGATACCTTTGTCCTGTCAGTCTTTGTGTGTCCTGCAATCCTTGAGCTTAGTATTTAGTACTTTTTTAATACTAATTACTAATAGTATTTACTTTATATTAGCTAGATTAATTCTTATGTAGCACTTTCCCCAGAAATACTGGTGGATTTGAATTAAAAAGTGTGATATCTTACAATTATTCTATTAGTCTTGATGTACTCAGTGCTAAAAATATTTTAAATTAAGTATAAGAGGGTGGACACTCTGTCTACCACATTACTGCCATCTAAGGCAAATTTTAAAGCTCCGCCGTAAAATCGAGGGCCGCGCAACACGAGGGCACCCCTACTTACAATTGCCAACCCCACTGTCTCTACCTTCTTTTCTCAAAATATCTGCCATGGCCCACCTATCTACCTATCTCTCCGATGTGAAATTGGTCACGCCAGGAAACGATAACTACTATGAATCTTTGGCAGCTTTGTACCACGAGACCTGGAATATGCAGAACCCAACAGTGTTTGCATTGCTTGACGTTGTTCGTGATCCTCCAGAGTCTCGTGTAGACATAGAGATCGAGGATAAGGTGTGCATGTTACAATGGTACATTGATGGGGAGGAGCCAGCATACCTACACAGTCCCTTCAAATGCTGCAAAGTCGTCGTGCGGCAGGAGTACCGTGAATTGTTAGCATGGATCTGGTCATACTTTGGTGGCGGGGATGGGGGTGAACAATCCGGCTATAAACCGGACCCAAATATAAACAAGGCATCGCTGTTTCCTCCACACAATCCGTTCAAAGGCTTGAATGTTGTATCGGTCCGCCATGAATTGAATGACGGCGTTGTTGTCACTGGAACTCCCGGCATTGGTGAGAGAATCGTTTCATTGTCGTTTTAACACTTCACCAATTGGTTACTCAGGCAAGAGTCTGTTCCTTTTGTTCGTGCTCGCATTGCGCCTTCTTGCAAAACAAACGACTGTTTTTCATTGTTTCGCCGGCGAGTTCTTGATATTCGACGAGACCGGGGTATATATATCCAAAGACATGGCTTCAGAACTCCGATTCTTACCAGAACATACGTGGTTCCTGGTGGATAGTAATCAATCCGTCACTTCTCCTCCTGTAACGTTTCTCTATTCATGCACATTATATTCTCGAAAGATCGTCGTGGCGGCGTCACCTCGTAAACAGCGATTCGACTGGACGTCAAAATATACGAGAATAATTCCTGTGTGGTGTGACATATTTACTTTCGAGGAGATACTTAAAGCGTAAGTCTTTATGTTCAGCCAATCTGAAATGATTATACATAATTCATGATTACAATAGACGAGATGCTCAGATAGGTAAAGAACTAGTATCGGAATTGGAACTGCAGAGTTTCTGGAACAACTACGGTGGTATCGCTCGTAATGCCTTCTCGCTCTACGACAGGCCAGATAAATACGAACGGAAAATTGAACAAAACCTGAGGGGTATTCACTGGGAGACGCTCGAGGACACGATTAAAGAATTGAGCTCGGGCTATTTCGACACACAGTTCTCTCATAACACCATTGTTGCAAGGCCCGAGAAGGACACGCGTGACGATTTCTATTGCGAGTTTGCCGCACCGAGGATAGCAGAAATTATAGTCGGCTATTACGCACAGAAGTCACACTTCAAGGCCGTACAACTTTATCGCTATTTCTTGCAGACCCCCAAAACCAGGGCATCTGCAGGGTATCTGTTGGAGTCAACCGTGTTTACCAATCTTCAGTCAGGTGGGTCTTAGCTTCTTCAACCGATGAAAAAGGTTCTGGATGGAAGAACTGGAAAGAATGGTGATGACACGGCTTGAGTGCATGACGAATTTGCTCAGCCATGGACTTTGTCTACTGGATGGAAAGATAGGTCAATAACCATTAATAAAGGCTACAGTCTCTCTGGAATTAAGCAAAGGAAGTATTGTCCAGTACACTGTATTGACTACAGCCCTAACAACAAGGAGCCTGTACTAGATAGTTCTGTAATGTATGGCCCCAAAACACCTAATAACCTAGCCTTTGATGTGTGGTTCTGTGAGCCCAAATTGGTTGAACATCTTATTGTGGTCATTCAAGCAACTGTCCAGACAACCCCTCATGAAATCAAATCTAAGGGGCTGGATTTGTTTCAGTTGAAAAAACTCATACTTATTGTTCTTTCAGACAAATTGAGCAGACAGAGAGTATTCACATTAAAGGAGAGTGTCAAGATAATAGGAGCTGTTAGGAATTGTAAAATACAGTAACTAAATTTGGAAAGCCTAACTCAAGACTTGAAACCAAGTAGTTTATAAACAAAACTCTATTAGTTACACATCTAAAGATTGGCCAGATCCCTAGGCTACCTTTGTTGTCCTACTTAGTAAGAACTCCAGCTCAGCATTATAAACCTCTAATCATTACTAATAGGTGATTAATCCATTAGTAGAGAGAGGGGACAGGAAGGAGTAAGTACTAAGTTAGTTAGGAAAAGGTAACAAAACCTGTAGACAAGGTCTTTATCTCTCTAAGGTCAAACACATACTCTAGTACTGTATTACTTAATAACCTCAACTAAAGACAAGTCATTTGTATACTTGTATAGAGAGGGGATCTGGAAAGAGTATAGTGTCCAGAGTAAGAAGTATAAAGGAAAAGACTAGGAGAAAACCTGAAGAGATAAAAGGAAAATATTATACTTACTTAAGGAGAAACTATATAGCTAGCTAGGAACTCTTTGTACAAAGACAAAGGACCATTAAAGCTAGTAAAGAGCCAGAGCCAATACTCTAAAGCTCTATACTTGAGGAGGACTAGTACTAGTGTAAAGGAAAGGGAACTAAGAGCTCTGAGGAGAGACTATAGGAAAGTAGTCTCCTTTATACACTTTACTCATATAGATAGGAAAGTAATAAAGTCATAAACATGAGAACTATATAAGGACAACATGAGGAATACATGAGACAATCTAGAACTTTGGTTGTAAGTTCTATGATTGAATACAGAAGTATAAAGATAAGGCTAGAAGTTAATAAGGATAATTGTCTCCTAAACTAAGTTTATTAAAGAAGACTTAGAGAAAGATTTAGAACATTGGTTGTCAGTTCTAGAGTGTACACAAGGTAGTCTAGAACTTTGGTTGTAAGTTCTAGGGGTAGTACAGAAGCACAGCCTTTTATATTACAAGAGTTATAAGGAGTCATTAGAAGTTATAATACTCTACCTTATGAGAAAGTGAATTACAAACTAGTGTACAGGAAGTACAGGTTGAGTCAGACAGAGTCTTAGGAACAATAGAGAGCTCTACTTTATAGGAAAAGCATTACACAGCTTACACAGTATAACTAGTCAAGAGGACTCATAAGGAGTCATTAGAAGTATGAGAGGAAGTATAGAAGACATAACAATACAGTAAAGGAGTCATTAGAAGATTAATCTAGAATACAAGAAGACACAAACCAGTGTTAGCAGATTAATAGAAGACACAAACCAGTGTAGCATACAGTCTAAAGGATTAGCTAGCTCTACTTTATAGGAATAACAGTAAATAGAGTTACTAAAGTCATTAGAGTAACATTACTCTAGTAAAAGGTATATAAGGAGGCCAGTTTGGCTCTCAAAAGATAGTTTTATCAACTTAAG